CTGGCTGGTCTCCCTGGCTGAAGCTTTTCCTTCTCCCACAAGCCTTAAGCCGGCAGCCACATAATTCCTGTAATAAAGCAAATCATGTAATTCCCTCGGCCTAATGTCACTGAAGGGGCCCTCGGCACCACCAAGATGAAATGCAGATTCCGCAGCAGCAGTGAGAGGATTCGAGGTCCCCAGGGAAGACTCTGCACGGCCCCCAGCTTGTCTGCCACCCACACAGCCCGCCTACTTCGTCCTCCATCCTTCAGCCGCTGTGGATTAGAACTTGTCAACTACCTACTTTTCCCCCGAAACTCATCACCAACCCACCCATCCTGTCTCCTTCCCTTTTGTAGGAGGGGAAGGATCTTCTGCCGGTCTTGGGGGGTCCCCTCCGCCCTCCCCCGCAGGGCTGCTCTCCTACACCTGTCCTCTCTGTCCTCGGTTCTGTCTCACCAGGGGCCGGCAACGCACTCCAGAGTCACCTCCCTTTCTCTCCAGGGTCTCTCTAGCTGGCAGCCTCTCTCCAGCCCTTCCTATGCTGCAAAGAAAGAGGTCCTTATGCTTATGGACATCACCTCCTCCGCTGAAGTGCATTCCGTGACCCACTGCCATCAGGCGCCTGGCCGCATGTGTAGAAACAGGCAGAGAAAAGTGAAGTTGCCCAGGATTTCACAGCAAAAGGGGCAGAGCCGGGACTCAGACCCAGCCAGCCTAGCCCCAGAGTGTACACTTGTAACCACCACACTCTACAACCCCCTCATCCACCTCAAGACGTGGGGATGTTTATCCCCCACGCAGAGGAGGAAGCCAACCCAGTTGTTCTAGCACATGCAGGCATCGGCAAGAGTGTCCTTTGTGAGTGCCTTACACATATCTAGGATTAAACAAATAGTGACAGCCTGAAATCTGTTGGTCTGTAGTGTTCTTGGCCAAAAAATATCCTCACAGAGATAAGCACGAGGGCGGGGAGGGGGGACTGGACCTTCATTTCTCCCAGCAGGAGGTGGTCTGGGACGCAAGGCCAGGGCTCCCCACACCCAGGCTGGAGCCCCCTTGGCTGCAACTCCCAGGCCTTGAAGTCCTCTGACTCAGCATGTGGCACATGGACAGGTACTGAATGCTGGCTGTTTATCTAACAGACCCATGGGCTGTCAGGACTGGAAGGGGCCTTAGTGACCCAACCAATGAGGAGATTAGTCAGCCCTGCCGGGCCCCGTGCCACGCACTCATCTGGCGAGGCTCTGGCCTCCTCTGATTAGCAGAGCTGCCGTCGAGGCTCACTTGCCACAGTTCTTTGCCTCAGTTGAGGAATGGCCACAAGTGTGGGCTCCTTTGTTTTGAGAGCCTGAGCGTGAGAGAGTGCTAGGGAAGAGGAAGATCATGTTGGATGCTTTAGAAGCTCCATTTCCTGCCTTCCAGTTTGCAGGCTTTTTGAGCTGTGGTTAAACAGCCTGGAGTTTCTAATTCCACTGACCTTAGAATGTCCCCTGGAAGCAGCTGAGGGGAAAAGCAGTACCAGACCCATAGCTGGTGGCTTTGAGGAAGTCACTGAGACTCCCAGAGCCTTCACTGTTCCCTGACCATCTGTGGGTGACCCGGAGGATCATGAGATAAAGGAGAGGCTGCTTTGTAAATGGTAAAGTGGGAGACCCATCTGACCCACGATCAGTGCAGTGCTTGCTTGTCAAAAGGACCAGTTTACCTTAGCCCAGCTCCTTAGCCTCCGAACTGTTACCTTCCCCTTCCCATTGACCATAGGTCCAGATTTCCTGGATCATTTAATGCAACAGACCTGCCCTGATCCCTTACTAAGGTGCTTGGTGGTGCTTGGCATAGGAGCAGAGAATCCAAGTGAAGGAAAAGGCAGGGCTATCCATGGTCCTGTGGCCTTCGAGCCAGTATCGGGGAAAGACAGAATGCTCAAGAGAAGGCAGCTTTCAGCAGGAAGATTTCTGTTCATTTTTGTTCTCTACACGTGGAAAAGGCCCATACGTGATGAGTTTTCATGAAGTGAACATACCCACGTAACCACTACCCAGCTCAAGAAGCAACATGACTACTCCCCCTAGGACCTCTGGGCCTTCTCTCAGTCTCTACCACCCCCATCCTGACTTCTACCACCATAGATAGAGTTGCCTATTTTCGAACTTTAAATAAATGGAAACATCCAGGGCTTCTTTCACTCAATACTCTGTGTGTGAGGTTCATTCCTGTTGATGGCAGTATCTGTAGTTAGCTCATTCTCAGTGCTGTGCATAGTATCCCAACAAGATCACCTTAGATCTGAGTTTCGTTTGGGATTTTGTAACTATGTTTATAAAGCCTTAGCCCATGTTACAAAAACAAGGAATTTAGAGTAATATTTATCAATGCAAGCGTAATTGATTTTTTACCTTCTATACATAATCATCTTTGAAATGCTACGAGTGAGTTCCAACTGTGGCTCTTTGAGACGCTGCAGGTGCACGTGGGATGATTTACCTTCTCAGAGAATCCTTTGGAAGCAGTCGGCTGTGGCTTGATCGTTGGAGAATCCTGGGTCTAGTTTGTCGTGGGGACTTCTCCGTGGACTTCCGCAAACTGAAGTGCCGTCACCAGGCGGAGGGCTTCTTCCGCGCTTTGGTCGGCTGGGAGGTCATTGGCGCTCAAATGCGTGATGCCTCCATTGCAGTCAGTTACGAAGAGACCTGTGGGCCCTGGCTGGGTTTCTCAGTTGGTCAGAGCGTCATCCGGATACACAGAGGTTGCACATTTGATCCCCAATCAGGGCACATACAAGAAGCAACCAATGAATGTGTAAATGAGTGGAACAAGGAATGGATGTCTGTCTCTCCCCGCTTCCTCTGTCTTTCTGAAATCAGTCAATCAATACAAGATAAATAAAAATAAAGAGAGACCTCTTAGTGCAAGACCATAGTCTCGGGACATATGCTCAGTCAAGTCTGACAACAGGCCTATGTTCCTGCGGCCCAGACCGCCATTCTTCCTCCAGGCGCTGGTCCACGCAAGGGGACCCAAGAGGGGCCCGCGGAAACTCCACCGACGTCCCAGTTCACATCATGAGGCTCATTGGCTTTGCCACTCAAAGTAATTTCTGGAGGACACATGATGGTGAAAGCCCAAGAATAGAAGAAGAGCACCAAATAGTTCCCCTTAAAGTCATCGAGGCTTAGCTCTTTCAACTCCGTTGATGACGTTGGTACTTTTGCGATAGGGTGTGTGCTGGGTGATGCAGGAGCGTGGTATAGGGAACTGGTGCCAAAGGCAAATTTTGCTTGCCTGGAGGCCGACCGCAGTACACGTGTCAAGCACGTTCTTCCAGAAGCAGCAGGCCTGAGGGCTGCAGAGGCACAGACGCTCCAAGAAATGGCGCTCACAGGTTGGGCAACCCAGCGCCGGGCAGCCTTCGGGCCCAGCCGCCGTGTTCGGCGCCCGCGGCCGCCACGCTGCGTGCGACCGCCCTGTTGCAGGCATGGGCGCGGCGAGCACCGGGAGGCTGGGGGGCGTCCGAGGTTGAGGGCGGGGCCTGGGGCGGGGCCGGAAGCCTGCAACGTTCTAGAGCAGCCTGGGGTCATTTCCGGCTTTGGGCGGCCTCGGAATGCTGTAGTTCACGTGCCTTGGGGAGCTTGTGTGCGTGTTATTTGGGGCAGAGACCTAGAGTGGAATGACTGGGCCGGAAGGTGTGAATTTGTGCAGCTTCGGTAGATACCGGCAGGAAAGGTTTAAGCAAGTTGTTGGGAAACTTCTGGACCTTAAAATTCGTGGCCTACGAGTTTATGTCCCGGAGGAGGGGGCTGTGAAATTTGCTTTGGAATCCTTGTTGGGTGGCTGGGTTGGTTGGAGCATCCCCCTGTACGCCAAGAGGTTGCTGATTCGACCCCCCAGTTAGGGCACACACCTAGGTTGCGGGTTCGATCCCTGGTCGGGTCAGGTACAGGGGGCAATTGATGTTTCTCTTACATCAATGTTTCTCTTTCTCTACCTCCCCCGCCCCTTCTTCTCACTCTGAAATTGGCAAAACATCCTCGGGTGAGCGTTAAAAAAAAATTTGCTTTGAAGAACAAGAGGAAGATGCTCATTAGGCAGACTTTGGGGGTGGGGCCAACACTTGGCTCCTTTCTGTTGGGTTTGGTTCCCTCTCCTTAGTCTGGGGTTTCCAGACTGTACTCCCGAGAGGCCTCTAGGGATGGGGCAGCGGGGCTCCGGCTCCACCTCCCTGTTTCAGCCCTAGGACTCCGTAGCCTCTGTTTTAGGCAGTGGAGTTCTGAGAATGACTTCATGTGTTTTTGAAAGAGTTTTCGTTGGGTGTTTGAAAGTGCACTGCTCTGAGGTCCCTTCCAGCTGGAAAATTCTATTCTGGGAGCTGGAGGTGGGTTCTGGGAAGGGTTAAGCATTATTCAGCCAAAGAGCTGGGTTGGGCCTTATGACCTTTTAAAGCTCTTAGGCTTGGTTTTCAGTGCAGGAGATCCCGTAACATTCTATTAAAATAGTTTTCAAACAAAACAACTTCCAAAGGCTAAACGATGTAGAGGACAGGCTTCACTCTGAGGAGTGTTCAGGCAGTGATTCAGCAAGTCTTGAGGAAATCATACTTCACCCAACTCTCTGCATTTAAAAGTTTTTTTATTTTTTTATTTTTTTATTTTTTTATTTTTTTATTTATTTTTTTTTTTTACTTCTCCATTGATTGTTCCTAGTAGTAGTCAGTTGGGGTTGTTTGGGCTCAAGGCAGTTCCCATTTTCGCAAAGGAGTGGGAGGTATGGGTGGCCTGTGTGTCCCTCTCTGGGGTGGTGGCCTTCCCTTTGCCAACAGCCAGCCTAGTTTCACTTGATGAAGGAGGGTAGGCAATTCGTGGGCCCAGAGAGAAACATCCCTGCATTGGTCTCTAGCTCTGAGTCAAGAAGCCTGATAAAGAGACTCTTTCCCAGGCCCAGGAAGGAACAAAGCCACTGGCTGCTCTGGGATTTGTCTGCCCCAATCTCCCTGAAACAGCTGTTTATTCTTTTGACAGGAGTTGGACCACAGCACCTTCCCTTCCTCCCAGCCCTGCCTCCTTCTGCAGAACGGAGCTCAATAGAACTTTGTTTTGCCTTTTACTCTTGAGGGGAGAGAAGCAGACGATGAGGTATGTGAAATGTTGAAATGATTTCCTTCTGCCTTGTTGGGGTCCCTGGGGGAGCTGCAAGCCGGCTGTGGTGAGGGTCCGCCTGGAGGAGGACCCTTGCTCTCCCCCTAACCTCTTGCTTCCCCCCCCCTCAGTGGTTCTGGAAGGAGCCACAGTCCTCCTCTCCCCGGCGTGGGATGTAGAAGTGGAAGCTGGCAGGATGCTGTGGGTTTTGCCTCGCCTGGCAGCACCTCTTTGGGCTGTGGCTGCGGCCTGGTGTTTTCTCGGCAGGATTCAGCGTGGCAGTGCAGGGGCTGGCTTGAGTCTGGCCCTTGGGCTGCACTGTGGGTGAGTGAATGCAGAGTGCTGTTGGGAGGTAGCCCCTCCATCTACCTGACCTTATTTCTCTTGGAAAAACCCTTGCAGTGTCTGAGTTGGGCAGCAAGGCAAATCTGGCTGGATCCAAGCCTGAGAGTTCCTGAAGGGATTCAAGAAAAGGCATGACAAGATGTGCCTCCGAGAACAGGTTGTTCTGTTTGTGATGGCTGGAGCGACACTTCACCATGTATTTAGTCTGAGACTTGTCTGTTAGTTCGTTAGTTTCCTCTGTGTTTATCCTGACCCTCATAATGAAAAACATGACAAGAAACAGCCTTCCATGCACTTTTTTTTTTCAGGCCTTGTACTATGTTTCTTCCAATGGGGAACACTTCCCTATAATGTCCACCAATTTACTTATTAAATATCTTTAAAAGATTTTATTTATTTTTAGACAGAGGGGAAGGGAGGGAGAAAGAGAGGGAGAGAAACATCAATGTGTGGTAGCCTCTCGTGCGCCCTCTACTGGGGACCTGGCCAGCAACCCAGGCATGTGCCCTGATGGGAATTGAACCAGTGACCCTGAGGTTCACAGGCTGGCATTCAGTCCACTGAGCCACACCAGCCAGGGCTATTTATTAAATATTTAATGTATTTGTTGATTTTAGAGAGAGAGGAAGGGAGAAGGGGGAGAGAGAAACATCGTTTTGTTGTTTCACTTATTTATGCATTTATTGGTTGATTCCTATATGTACCCAGACTGGGAATCAATCCCATAACTTTGGTGTATCAGGATGACGCTCTAACCAACTGAGTTACCCAGCCAGGGCCCATGCCCACCAATTTAGAAGCTTCTGGGTAAAGCAGCATTCTCCCTCCTTACCTCCAGCATCAGCCTCCTGCCAGGAGCTGGTCCTGGGAGTCAGAGGGTCTGCTTTTCAAATTGCCATCCCTTTCTAGGTGAGCCCTGCCATCTCAGCTGCCACTGAAGCTCAGTTTCCGCATCAAAAGTTTCCTCACTGCACTGACCATGGTGAGGGATTAGCAGATGGAGCAAGGAACACCCACACCAGGTGCGCAGGAGGTGCCTGGGAATGGCAGGAGAGCCAGTGCTCGCCACATTGTCAAAGGGAAAGCTGGCCCCTCAGCGAGGCTGGCCTGTGACTGGCTAGCTTTGAGTCAGTCTCTATGCGATAATCAGAAGAGGCGAAATGAGAGCATGTTCCAAACAGACCCGAGTGATTAGTCTATGGGTAGGCCCTCATGTTTTCTTTGAGAAGAGGGTGGTAAAAGTGGTGAGCACCAGAGACTGATGCCTGGGACCTGAATCCTGCCATTATGCTGTGTGACATCGGGCAAGTTACTTAACCTCTCTGAGCCTCTGTTTTCATATCTTCAAAGTGGGGATAACTAGATGATTTCAGGATTGTTGTGAGGCTTAACTTGAGACTGCTGCTAAACTGTTTAGCCCAGGGTCTGGCCTGGTTCATTTGGGGAGCATCTAAGTATTGTTAGGGCCTGAAGCTTATTCCATTTTCAGGGACCTCTTTAGGAAAGGATGCAGAGTTGCAAATGCGACATTAGGCATGGAAGTGGATACAGTTGACCTTTGATCAAATGGGTTTGAACTGCAAAGGTCCACTTATACACGGGTTTTTTTCTAATAAGTACTGTGTATATATTTTCCTTATGATTTTCTTAACATTTTCTTTTCTCTAGCTTACTTTATTGTAAGACTACAGTATATAATACAGATAGCATACAAACATATGTTAATCAACTATGTTATTGGAAAGTCTTAAGTACTTATTTGTGAGTAGTTAAGTTTTAGGGGAGTCAAAAGTTACATGCCGACTCCCAACTGCAGGGGCGCTGGTACCCCCAATCCCTGCATTGTGCAAGGGTCAACTGTATTTAAAATGTGAGAAGACATATCACAACAAATAACAAAAACTGACACATACTCCAACGAGGGCAAAATTTAGAAAACATAATGATGCGAAAATAATGTAAAAATGATATTACTTAGGTGTCCAATGCACCTGCCATATTTTGGCCGCATACTCTTGGGTTGCCTCTTTATTTGACAATGATTTTGTAGTATCATTTTTAATAGAGACGAAAGATAAATCAGTTTTGCCTCTCTCATGGTTAATCAGCAGCTGCTTTTCATTAGTGAGAGTTTAGAAGAGTGTCTTTCAGTTTCATAACTTGTTATTGGTGATGCTACACCTCTAAGTCTTTGGGCAGCTTCTTGCTCCGGCCTCTGGGCAGAGCACAGGGAACTCAGCTGCTGACCCTGCCTGGGGGTGGGTGGAGGGTATGGGCACAGGGTGGCAGTGTCCTGATCATCATGAGCCCTGAGCAGGGAGCAGAGTGGCACCTAGGTCAGCCCTTTCTCCTTGGGATCAAAGCGGAAGGCTCTTGGGTGCACAACAGGGTCCACCTGGGGCTGATAGTTACTGGGACCCAGGCGGGTGCACAGATAGTGGGGTCAGTCCCGCGGACCCACCTGCAGCCCCAGTCCAGGCACCAAGGCTGGGGTGACTGCCCCGGGCAAGGGAACGCCCCTCGCCCCTGGGACGCACTCGGGCCTTACCCACTCTCAGCCCCAGTCCGCAAGACAGCCTCCCTCCGGGTTTTATTCGCTTCTAGGTAGGGAGGCCTCTGCGTTCCACTCGTGTTGGTGGGTGATCTCCTCCTTTGATCATCACTTTAAGGAATCTATGGGGCCATTGCAGTAAGGGGTGCTCTGTGTGGCTTGTAATGAGACTTCCAGCCAGTGGTTGATTTCTCCTCCACGTCCTGGGTCAGTTAGGAAAGCCTGTCATGGAAAGTTAAGTCTGAGTGGCTTCTTTCAGGGACAGGGAGACTAAGGCCAGAGACACCCATGACCCCGGTCTCTAGCACCTGCTCTGTGTGGAAGGTGGGGCTGGTCGGCCTCAGCTCCCTCCCCACCCAGCTCGAGCTACAGGCAGTGGGGCAGCGGCCATGAGCAGCTGGGCCCTGAGCCGTGGACAGTGGGGAGGGGAGCTGACTGTCACAAAGCCCCGGTGGGGGTTGTGGGGGGCTCTCCCTTGAGTTTCTGTGCGGTGCCACCCTGGGGGACCCACACATCTCTCCCAGATGAAGCCACTTCTCTGCCTTCAGAGCACCTGTGGAGCATTTACTGACCACGGGCACAGTGTGCTTCATACGCATGGTCTCCTTTTGAACTTTCAAGACCCTCGGAGGAGGGCACTTGTACATGTAAACACAGTTCAGAGGCAGAGAACCTACCCGAGGCCTATGTCTGGGACCGCTGATTTAAGAGTCAGCGCTGGCCTGGTTTCTCCCTGGAATGCTGGATCTAAACACTGCAGTGGGGGATGTGGAAGGCAGAAGATAGGAGTTTTGTCCAAAGTCTTTAACACACAATTTGCTTCTGTGGCCTCCCTTGCCCCTTAACTGTTCACAGCACTTGTCACTCAGAGTCTTTGACCCCATCTCAGTCATCCAAGAGCGACTGAGCCTGCAACAAGCAGGGGCAGCTCCAGAGAGCAGGGTACGGGTTCCAGGGGCAGGCGAGGAACCGCAGGCAGAGAGGAATGCTGGGTCTCCTCTGCCATTGCTCTCCCGCGCAGGTCCCGGCTCTCAGAGACGATGGCTTTGCCAGGGCTTCTGAGCGCTGTTATTCAGCTGAGACATCCACTTCCCCCTGACAGGAGACAGAGAAAACAAGGTCCACAGTCCGCTAGAATTCCTTTCCGAGAGGATTTCTGTTTCGAAGGAATGCCTTTGCTTAGCCCAGACAAAACCGGGAGTGGGGGGCGGGGGAGGCGGGGCGCGCGCGTGTGCGTGTGTGTGCGTGTGTGTGTGTGTGTCTGTGTCTGTGTCTGTGTCTGTCTTTTTGGTAGGCAAGGAAGGATTAATTTATGAGCAACATGGAAAAGCCTGCCTGACACTCCAGGAAAATATAGCGGAAAAGGAAAAGGAGGAAAGTGAAGCGGGGCAGATGGAGAAATAATAGGCTTTACAAGGTGACCCTGCCCTTAGAAACGCCCCCATGTTCTTAGCAAGGGGTCCAAGAGAGGGGTGTGTGACAGGGGCCAAGTTCTGGGAGGTAGGATGGATTCAGAGAGCAGCCATGGGCACGGGGACAGGAGGGCCTGAGAGATGGGGGGAGGGCCCTGGCAGGCCTGGGTGTGGCTGCTTCACTGGGGGCTCAGAGGGGTCGGGGCTGCTGACCTGGCGTTCACGCTCCCACGTGAGGCGGGGTGTCCATATTCGGCCGTCCTGATTCTGTGCTCTGCACCTTAAATTGGGAATTTAGAAGCAACCCTATGTTTCCTAGTTGGTGGCTAAGATAGTCAACCACCCTCTGCAGAATTATGCAGTTCTGAAAATTCTGAGAGACAAACCCATAAGAGAAAGACTTTCAGACCACATTGGCTGCCAAATCCTCATTTTTGTCCAGAGAGAAATATAAAAGTGTTTTAAAAGACTTGCTGGCCACACTGCCAACCCCTCCTTCTCTGGAGATGTGCATTCCAGATCCCAGGAAGCATGTCTACGCCCATTTCTAGTGCTTTGCTAAAGGACACGATATTGGCTCATTTGGGCAGCATCCAATCGTAAATCTCCAACAAGAGTGACAACTGGCCACTGCAAAAAGTAAGCCTACTCAAGCAATCTGTGAAGTCCAGAAAGAAAGAGGCTTCATGAATTGCCTCTGATGCTAATTTCTGAAATGAAAAGTCTTAAACACTTTGCATGGCGAGGCGATTAGGAGCTGTGTTGATTTGGGCTCTTCCTGACATTAGCCTCCGTGTATTCTACCATGGGAGTTTGCATGTTTCTCCATTTCATGTTTTTTTAACTGGGGGACAGTTGCATTTGATCCTCAGCAGGTGGGGCTGATAAAGCCTGGGATGCATGCAGTGCGGCGTGGTGGCCTCCGCAGCACACGCAGGGTGTTGTAGCAGGGCCCCGCCTCGATCCAAGAAACTCAAAGTGTCCTCCCACTTCCGTGAGCTCTTCGTGGTGCTGCAGCGCGGAGCAGATGGAGAACCTTTAGAGCCTAATCTGCATCTCCCTGTCTTTATTGCTTCACATGTTATTCCAAAACCCTCATTCTTTCCATCAAGTATGTTTTGAGCTCTGGCTAATATGGGGCGCTGTGCTGTCTCACTGGGTCCTCCTGACAGCCTGTTTATGGGTACCAGTCATAAGAACAAACATTTCGTACACATTTATATGGCGCCAGGCACAATAGTAAGTATTTTATGGACGTTATCTCTTGCAGTCATGGCCATTTTTACCTCCATTTTAGAGACAAGGAGACCAATTTACTAATCCACTACAGGTCCACAGCCCCTTTTCTGAAACCCGAGGGCCTGGAAGACAGAAGGTGCGGATTATATTCCGTGTTATGTAACACTCCCAGTGCAGCGGCACCAAATAATAAAATGCATCCACATTTACGCAAAGGGACGTTTAAACGTTATCGCTAAGTGGGATAAGGATGATAAATAGCCTCATGTCAGGGTCATAGTGCTAATTGAATTACAAAGAGATTTTCAGGTTTTCAGAGCTTTCTGGAGACGTGGATAAGGGACTGCCACATGGTCAGGGTGAGCTGGTTTCGTGTGTATCAGAGCTGGGATTCCAGTCCCCACCTCCTTCCAAAGCCCGTGAGTTTGATCACTATCCACACTCCTCTGGGAGTGAAAACTTCAGCATGCAGAGGTGGCTGCAGCCTCAGCCCACGTCTGTTTGGTCCGCAAGCCAGGACTTTTCTAGCGCTCAATGCTAATGCTGTTGATGTGGACTTCAAGTGGCTTTTCCAGCAGAGAGGCAGAGTTGCGTGCAGTTGCATTTTGTGACTTTGCCACAGGCCTTAGGCCGTATGTGCCAACCAGCTCAGGGGGTCTCAAAGGGAAGAAGCCCAAGAGTGAGGTTTAGAGGGGACCCAGCAGGCCCACCTTCTTGTGCCTCTGGAATGCCGCTGATCATGGGGACATTCGAAAGCTGGCTGAGCTGTGACCTTGAGTTCAGCACTGGCTTTTCGGTTTCCCAATAGAGCATACTTTCTAAGCAAGGAGGACTAGAGTATCATGGCCGATAACCATGTTCTTTAACTGAATTTATAATAAAGTGATGCAGCACCTGAGATCCAAGACTGGAATCGTCTAAGACCCTCTTTGAAAAGAGTTGCAAAATATCCCGTCTCCTGAAAAGATAAATTTCAGTGTCATTTTCATTTTATTTAATTCCCTCACCAAACATTTATAGAGGGCCTCATTGACTTCGCGTGAGGCACTGGCGATTCAGGATTGAATGGGACCTTCCTCCCGCCCTTGGGAAACTCAGACTGACCGGCGGAGGAGACAGGGCCACATGTGGATGTTCCCATGTGACCCACCTCCCTAGGTGCTGTGCGCAGCACTGTGAATAGAGTGACGAGGGGGCCAGAGGAGAGAAAGGCCATTTCGCTGGTGGCCAGGGAAGGGGTAGGAAGTGGCTTCACAAAGGCCATGACACTTGATGAATGGTACAGCTGGCCACTCTCTCCCTTGGCTTCCGGGTGTCCACCCTCTCGGTTTTCCTCCCGCCTCCTAGCCCACTCCTTCTCCTCTCCTTCTCTGTCTTACCTCTAAATGTCACTTCCGCCCAGGGTCCTCTTCCTTCCTTTTTCTCCCTCTACATCCTCTCCCCCGGTGAGGGAATTCCTCTCCTTCACCTTAAATACCGTCCATGTGGACGATGCCTCCAGCTGCATGTCCCACCCACACCTCCCGGATAAACTGCGGACCTGCCACCCCTATTTAGATGTTCACACACTCCTTGAAAGTAACACGTCCAAAAGGGAATTCATGGTTCTCATCCCCAAACCTGGTCCTCCTCCAGCCCACTGAGGAAATGCCACAGCCCACCTGCTTACACAGAAACCTTGCTTCTTCCCTCTCCCTCAACCCTGATGTGTAAATTACCAGCCAAATCCGATCACTTCTCTTCTTCAAACTATGGGAATTAATCGACTTCTCTCCACCTCCTTTTCAACACAGGCCGCTCCTTCTTTTTGGCCATTGGAATAGCCTGGCACCTCATGTCCCTGTGTCTGCCCTTGTCCCCACACTCATTCCCTGCCCCCAGCACTCCCCAGCACCCACTGGGGTCTCTGAATGAAGTCGGATCAGGTGATACCCAGCTTTAGAGGCTTCTGTGGGCCCCTGCCCCCTTTCCAGGCCTTTCCAGGTGCCCTCTGCCCTGCCGCCCGCCCCACCCTTGTTCCAGCTACTCAGGTGAAAGAGCACCACTATTTTTTCTTGTTCATGCTTTTTGCTTTTGTCTTTTTTTCAAACACTAGAAGCTCTTTCTCCTGTCAGCCTGTCATAGGTGCCATTCTGAAATTTTCTCGTGCCTTCTCATGGCTTTTCACCCTCTCCATCCTGTCTTCACTCCTGGGGAAGCTTTAGTTGCCTCCCCAGCAAGGCCTTCCCTGACCGCCCTACTTAAAGTACTTCCCAACCTGCTCTTCCCCACCCCGAACCTCTCCCCGCTCAACCACAATTAATGCAGCAATCAGGAAGTATTTGCGTGCTTACTGTGCACCAGCTGTTTGCTCACTGTCGGTGTGGAGGGGAGAGGCTGGGTGGGGGTGGGAAGTGGGTGGACCTAGATTGTCAAGGACTGAGCGGTTCCCCCGCTCTGAGCATGGGGCATGTGGTCAGGCCATGAGGGGAAGCACAGCTAGGAAATGGATGGTCCCTGCTGTCATTTGCTGAGAGGGGCGATCTGAGTTCAGGCAGTTGGCGGCCATGGGAACCATTTACAGTTACTCCTTCATGCTTCCCCATCCAAGCTGGACCTCACGATCATCCGGGCACTTTCCCTCTGAGTCACAAAGTGGCCTTGCCATCATTCCCAACACGAGAGCCCTGTCAATTCATTGAACTGGCCTAATTTGCCATTGCAGCCCTATGCAGTTCAAGGGAGAGCACACTCCTGAGTTCTAATTAAGCATTCATGAACATTTCCTTTTAGAGAGGATATAGGTAGAAGCACTTCTTAAAAACCATATATCGCTTGGGATTTATTGAGTCTATTTTTCCCATTTTTTTTTTTTTCTTTTCACAGGATAAAATAATGAATGTCAAAGGAAAAGTGATTCTGTCAATGCTGGTTGTCTCAACTGTAATTGTTGTATTTTGGGAATATATCAACAGGTAATTATGAAACATGATGAAATGATATTGATAAAAGTTACTCTAATCTCCAATAGTAGCCAAGTCACCAGGCTGAATTAAAGGTAGACTTAACTGAAACCATATAGAAGAAATTCAACCCTTTCTGTATCCCTGAGCCCTGACTGTCTTGTTTTTTTTTTAATCGTTTTCTTTTTCCATTACCACTTAGTTCCCTTGTACACCTCTCCCCCCAGCATTCGCCACACTGTTGTCTGTGAGTCCTTTTTCCTTTTCGCTCAGTCGCTCCGCCCGCTAACTCCCCGCCACCACGAGCTGTCACCCTGCTCTCCATCTGTCAGTCTGTCCCCATATTCCTTGTTGCTCAGTTTAGCCCTGAGCTGTGTTTCAAAGCATTAGAGCTGCAAGTACCTTCTGGCTAATCAACTATCTTCCTCCCTGCCATGTTCCTAATGTCTTGATTTTTGTACTCTTCCCGTTCTGGGCAGAGTAGATCCAGGTCTTATTAAGCCGAAAATGTAATTTCAGTTATTCATATGGCCAGATATAGAAATTACCTTAAGGAATTTCAGACACAAATTCCATGAGAAATCCACCCTGTTTCTTGCAATTCTGGGATATTTGCAGAGTTTAAAAGAGCAACTCAAGGTGTTGACTTTTGCTGCAAAATGCACTTGAGTCATGAGTGATTTATTTGTGTCTGGCTAAAACTTTTCTTTTTTTTACCATTGGAAGCAAAGTGAATTAAACATTTCTGAGTGCATTCCCCAAAAGCTGCTTCTGTGCTTTTGGAAACTACAATACTTTGCAAGTTCCAGCTGGAGAGGCTTCTGATAGAAAGACGTCTCCACAAGCAGCTACAAAAATGCATGATGCCTTTGACTCAAAAAGCACTGGTATAGTTCGTCCAAAAAACCACTGTAAACCTCTGGGCGGGGAGAGCTCTCTTGGCACCATTAATATTTTCATGGTGCAGTGTTCAAGTAGCCCCCAAGTTCACAGTGACAGCCTGAATTAACATTTGAATGTCTTCCAGTTCTTAAATTCTAAGACTTGATGAGCCAACAGGACCATCTTGGCTACTAAAAGAGGAGCTGCACCTTGAGGTCCATCAGTAGAAGGAGAATTGCTCCAGAATTGGGAGCTGTTTTTCCCCCCGGGTGCTGCATAGATCAAACTGCTTCTGCAATGTCTTTTTCTGTCTTTCTGAACAACTCATTTGAAGAAAAATATGAGTGTGGCTAAGTTAGAGGGATCAACAAATCAGAACTTTCAAACTGAGGAAACTGGGGTACTTGGTCTGAAGAAAAGACAAACAAGAGTTGGCGAAGGGACCTTGAGCCTCCCTTATGGACTCAAGAGCTGAGGAGGAAATGTCCTGGCTGGAGTCCGGAGCTAGGCCGCCTGGGCTGATCCTGTGCCACCACTTAATTCCTCTGTGACCTTGGGCAACTTACCCTGCCACGCTTCCTCATTTTCCTTATCTTTAAACATGGGAATAATAATTTAGTACCTGCTTCATAGGATTGCTGGAAAATTAAGTAAGTTATTGTACATAAAGCAGTTAGGGCAATGTCTGGAACTTAATAAGCCCTCGAGAGACGCTAGCTGCCACGTTTATCATCATCCTCCTCCTCACCTTCATCACTGCTGTCACCATCACCCTCTGCTCTAGAGGGCAGAGCAGGACAGGGGATTTTGGCAGCTTGAAGGAAGAGCTCTAGCAGATGGAAGAATTCAGCAGAAGAACAGGTGCCCTTTAGGGGACCTACCCTGAGTTAGGGTGCTTGTGTGGATAACCTTCAAGCTGGGAGTGCTTGTTGCCTGGATAACCGTGGTGTCCTGAATTGCAGCCAGAGTTGTGCGTCCGTATTTTGGGTTGTTCATAAAATTAAAATATGTAGCCAAAGGCACAGATGTGCATATTGGCATTGGCCTTCCATAAAGAGGGTCATTTTGCAGTGCTAGACACATTGTCTTTGCTCGGTAGCCAGAGCAGGTTCTGACTGCGCTTCAAGGACACGTGGCACCCAGACTGTGGCCACATCATTACTCAGTGTGAGGAATCTGCTTGAGTACCTACAAGGGCCTTGAAAGGCAGGAGATCCTTTGCCACCTTGTGAATTGGCTGTGGGATGATTTGAGGTGAGCTGAGGGCACTAGCCTTGTGCAGGTGGTCAGTGCCAGGCTAAAAAGGATTTTTAAGCTAACCTGCCTGATCACATCAGCTGTTGTCAGCAGAGCATCCTGAAAGAATGTCATCCAGGGCAGCATTTGGTTTGAAGCTGGATGAAAAAAAATCTTAGAACTTTAGAGCTGGAGGAAAGTCACAATAAAAGAATAATGATGGCGATGGCAATTATGATGATAGCAGCTACTAGTTATTGCGTGTTTGTGTGTGCCCGGAACTGCGTGCACTCGCTCCCGCTCTTACAACAGCCTTACACGGGAGGTGTTCGCCCACGCGTCTAGACAAGGAGCACCGCATCTCTGGAGCCCTGCTCTGGGCACGGCGTTGGGCTCCGCAGTCATTCCTTGTTTTGTGTTCTGAGGGAAAGTAAATCCTGCATGTAGGCTGGCTGAGGCTTGGGGATCCTGAGGAGGTCGTGGGAGGAGACCTGTCTGTGAGCCTCCTCTTGAAGCCACAATGAAGGGCTGTCGCCTTTTTTACTAAGATTTGAGTCTCCACAGACCTCCTTGTTGTGGGGAGTACTGACATGACTGCCGTGGAACTTCCCTCTCTCCTGAGACCCTTGGTTATATCTCAAGGAAGGTGGAAACCTAAGAGTAGCTAAAACAAGGCTCTTAGCTCACCCCAGGGCTTCAGTGATAATGGTTGCAAAATAGCTTTTCTCAGAATGAAAAGTAACACAATATATTTTTCTTTCTTGTTTGATTTTAGCCCAGAAGGCTCTTTCTTGTGGATATATCACTCAAAGTAAGTGCCTTGAATTTTAGATGGCTCTGGGACTGTTCCTGTGACCTCTCCCACACCTCCTCCAGCCCATTCCTAACGTGGCAGCTGGTGATGTGGCTCTGGTCAAAGACGGAGCGCAGGCCTGGGTTCCCAGGGGTCTGGACGGCATGCCTCTGGCCTCCTAGGCAGCCTTTGTCGAGCCATGGCTGTGATTTGCCCTTGCTTTTTTCTCATGAAGTATCTTTTTAAGTGGTGTCATTTGGAGAACATTCCTGCCTTCCCAATAAAAAGTGTCAGGGCAGATGCTGTCCTTTATGCTACCCAGTATATGTTGTATAAGGATTCTTCCAAGAAATTTCTTTGAGACAAAGGATCAAGAAAAAAGTTTGGGACTCTGATGAACTAGTGGGTCTATTATCATTATTATTATTGGCAGTAAGAACTATGTAAGCCTTGTTTTTCTGTCTTTGGCTTGGTTGCCAGGAACCTCAGAGCAAAGTGTTGTGCTTAACTGCTTGGACTTTCCTCAGCCTTCATTTCTGATACAGTTCATCCCCTGGCATTAAATCTGAGCTTTTATGCTTATGAAATGCCATGGGATCTTGGCAGTTTTCCCAAACGCATTCAGCCAATATTTTAGTTTCAAATGAAAATAAAGGTAAAACCTTTATTCTCATGAGTTGCTGGGACGACCAACATCATGTGAAAATACCTACCTGAATGACTAAGTAAATGTTTCTCTCTTCCCTTTTGTTTGTTTTATTTGTATATTGTTTCCCTGCTTCTTGTAACCACACTGTCTTAATCATAAACCATCTTGAACACTTTCTGAAAGTAGATGAGCTTTCAAATAGATTTATCATGCCTGTTCATGACTCACCACTCAATTTGTCCAACCAAAAGGCCTTATCTCTTGGTTTCCCCTATATCCCCATATCCAGAAGGCCCCTACCTTGGGGAGACTCTCATAACGAGTGTGAAAACTTCCGCTGTGGGTAGGGAAGGTGGTTTCTGATGACAGGTTTCGGAGTTTCTGGTTCAGAGACTCTCAGATTTCCTGAGGCTTGACTGCTGACTTTGTGGCAACCTGAATTCTCCCAGTTCAACAGAGATCACTCTTGGAAAGGTGCACTGGCTTCTTTATTAAGATCAAAATTTGTTACAGTTATTTTCAGTTTATAAAGCTCTTTTATGTGTGTTGCCCTGGTTGGTGTGGCTCAGTGGACTGAGTGCTGGCCTGTGAACCAAAGGGTTGCTTGTTCGATTCCCAGTCAGGGCACATGCCTGGGTTGCCAGCCAAGTCCCTAGCAGGGGCGCATGAGAAGCACCCCACATTGATGTTTCTTTCCCTCTATCTCCCTCCCTTCCCTTCTCTCTATAAATACATAAATAAAATCTTTTAAAAAACTTAATAAAAAAGCTCTTTTATATATACTATTTCATTTAGTTTTCAAAGATACCTTCATAGTAGATTTATTATTATTATTATTATTATTATTATTATTATAATAAAAGGTTGGACAAAATGTTCACAATTTTAAATACACAAAACACAGTTTATTCTTGTATTATTATTTATGTATTATATTCCATATGAACAACTGCAAATCTAACTTTTGCCCCATCCAGTATTAGTATTTTTATGTGAATTGTCAAAGGAGAAAAATCCAGATTCAGCAAAGGAAAATGTCCTATCATAGCTACTAGTAAGGGGCAGATCGAAGGCCCAGGTGTGTGTGTCAGTGCCCCGCCCCCACCCCCATTGCTCATCATCCCCCTTCCCCTCCTGCTCCGCTAGGCTGCGTGGATGACGAGCTAGCTGAGTGCGGGGTCCACCCACTGTCGCGCCCCTCCCCTCTTATTCCCCTGGAGCAGCTTCGCTTCTTCCTGTTTTACCAGCTGGCAGTTTCAAACTTTTAAAAAAATGATTTTCTGTCATAAAAAGAGTTTGGAAACCCCCCAGATTGAGACAGTCTCATTTTCTAAAAATGTTTTTCATCTTTTTCATTTCTTAGAAACCCAGAACTTGGTGATAACGGCAGCCAGCAGGGTTGGTGGTTTCCAAGCTGGTTTAACAATGGGTAAGGTGATAAGACCAAGATCTGTACTTTCCCCCCATTGAACACTTGAAGAGTCAGATACACACTTCGTGGTAATGACCTTCTTGGTCATTCATTTTTCTGGTTTACTGAAATCATACAAGGTATATATTTCATGGTTGGAACTAGAATGTTAAAGGTTTTTGTTTTTGTTTTTTCCATTTAAGTAGGGGGTGAGTAGGGCTTGGGTTGAAGTTCAGACTGCAGGAAAGATTGTCATAGGATAAAATGTTCTTGTAAGGACTGTTTTATCAAGTTCTCCCACCCACTGACATAATGTAAGGGCTGTTGGGTCATTAAACTTGAAGGATAATAATGAAGATAGGCGCTGCGCCTTTTCATCCAAAGTGTGCCTTTCTGAATAGCCATTTAGTGCCCTGAGCCTTCTGCAGCCAGTCACCTGCTGCAGGTGTTCCCTGCCTCCATGGGCGTTTCCACTGACTGTCCCGACACCGTTGACCGCCCTCCCTGCCTTACTCAGCTTGCTTTCCCTTCATACACAGGACCCACAATTACCAAGAAGAAGAAGAAGACACAGACAAAGAAAAGGAAGACGAAGAAGAGCTTCAGCTCTCCGACTGGTTTGATCCACAGTAAGAAAGAGTGTCGCCAATGTGCAGTAAATCCATGGTTTAGCAGGAGGTGGTGGGGCTGGGTCAACAGCTGTGCCGCTGAGGACAGCCCTGAGTGGGCAGACAGAGTCTCTGTTAGACCTTCGGCAACAGATCAGATGAGAAGCTAAGTCTGGACTTTCTGACTCAAATGCTGGAGCAGTGACACAGTGATTCTGGCAGCAGTTGGCCAATGGCAGCAGATGAATCACGAAATACTCAGCCAGATGGGGTCTTACAGGCCATGGTGTGCTGTGGAAAGCCACAGGACTGAGAGTCAGAGGGAGAACATTCTCTCTGAGATTCAGTAAACTCATCTGTAACATGGCAACAATGTTGCGAGATCTCAGGGACCACATGAGCAACCATTCAGCAAACATAAATGTTTATCAAGTATCTATGACCGGCTAGCTGGTGTCTTTCACACCACAGGCCACTATCATTAATATGTTCACATACTAGCCTAATGGGTTAACACCAGCTTTTTAAAAAAAATTAAAGAAGAAAATCAGAGGGTATCACAAGAAGTAAGGATGTGTTCAGTGGAATTTTTTATTCTGTATGTATATGTGCATTTGTTTGGGTATGACGTAAAATGTATTTCTCACTATGAATCATGGTCAAATTTTCTGTACTAGACATTGTGTTAGGCATAGTAAATAGAAGAATCCAATCAAGGTGCGTGTGTTCATGAAGTTCACAGTCTTATAGTGGCACTTGCCAAGATTGGTAAGAATGTATGATGAACCCGATTTAGAAGGATGTGGCTTGGGGAATAAGGAGGTGGGAGCTGTCCCGGATGACCATGAACCCTGAGAGACTGTGTGGGGGTGGGGGGTGCCACTGATCAGGAAAGCACCTGGAGGAGGAGATGGTCTAGGGGACGGGGGAGGTGATGAGCTCAGTTAGGGATGTATGTGAATTCAGGTGTGTGGGGGACATCTAGGCAGAGACTCACAGGGTGCCTTGCCTGTCTTGGTCTGTTTGGGCTGCTTTAACAGAATACCATAGACTGGCTTATAAACAACAAGAAATTTGTCACAGCTCTGGGGGTCAGCAAGTGCAAGACCAAAGCGCAAACAGATTTGGTGTGTCTGGTGAAGACCACCTCCTAGTTCATACATGGCCATTTCTCACTGTGTCCTCACATGGTGGGAGGGGTGAGGGAGCTCTCTGGCATCCCCTTTCTAAGGGCACTAATCCCATTCATTAGGGTTCCACCCTCATGACCTAATCACCCCAAAACCTCACCTCCAAATACCCCCGCAATGGGGGTTAGGTTTTAACATACAGATTTTTGCGGGGGATAGTCCCGTCTACTACCAGTGCCTGAGCTTGGCAGAAGATATGAAGATAGATGGGGAGCCATCAGAATACAAGTGTCAGTGACCTGTGAGCCTGGATGAGGCCACCCAGGCAGAGGAATAGACCTGAGTCCTGCCTGGCGTCAGCACTTAAAGGGCTGGTGGAGGAAGAGAAGTTGGAGGAACAGCTATAGAGGTGGTAGGAGGGTGGGAGGGAAGAGCTCTAGTCCAGTGTGAGGAATCTTAGACTCTCTGGAAAGACTGAATATGTTCTGGCAAGTTCACTTATTGTTTTGGGATACAGGATCCATGCCAGCAAAGAAGGATGGGGATTTGGGGCCCCTGTGTGTCATTTGATCAGCTGAACAACAGAGTAGCCATCTGTGAGATGTTAAACCATTACTGGAAATGTCAGAATATGGGCACATTGCTCCTTCAATGTGTATGTGTGTGTGTGTGTGTGGCAGGGGGGTGGACGGTTTAAGACCTCCCAGGGAGCAAGCTTGATGAGCTGAAGACGGTCACCAGCCTCCCTTCTAAGGAGGGTGGCACACTTTTACTGTGACACTTGTGCTTTGCTGAATGGGACTTAGGTGGTAGGGTCAGGGCTGAATTGCTGGGGGCAAAGAGGAGGGACAGATGGTGGCCACCAGCTGTCACTCTCTGTACTCTCAGCTTCTCTCTAAAGCAATGGTGAATGGTACTTAGAGAACATTGGTTGGAAGCGACACCGAATTAAGCCTTCTCAGGGCACCAGAGTGTCTTTCTTGCTTAAATGAATGATTAGACAAACAACTGAATGAACAAACAAATATATTTCTATAAATGTGTACTTTTCTGTAAACTACCTAAAACATATCATAGTATATTGTGTACACATTTCCACATGAAGCGCTCTCAGCTTCTGTGACACCAGAACCTTGTAATTTTCCTGCTATTTTTCCATTCGCCCTTCTTAGTCTCCTTGACAGGACCTCCTCCCTCTTTCCAGCCTTCACATATTAGAGCTTCTGTAGTTAAGTCTAGTATCCTCATACCCTTTCTGTGTGCCCCATCTTCCAACATGCTCCCACCCATTTCCAGGGAGTTAGGTAGTATCCGTGTGCAAGTGGTTCCTACACTTAAATCTTTAGCCCAGGCCTGTTCTCACTGCCTGCTTGATGTCTCTGCACGTCTCGCGTGATCCCTCCCCACCCTGGTTCTTCCAATTTCCCATCTCAAGCTCCAGAGTCTGGGACGCCTCTCCGTTCAGCATTCTCCTCCACCTGCGCCTCAGCCTAACTCACTAACGTGTTCTGTTCATTCTTCCTCCACTCTCGCCTTCTGTGCATTTCACAGGCATGACCACTCTTGTTCCTTTCACCATAGGCTCTTTGCTGGACCACTCTCCAGCAGCTGCTGCTTAGAAGGAGTTCAGTAAATAATGAGTTGTATGCAGTTCACATCTTTGTTGAATGCACACTTCATGAAATTTTAACACTTCCTCCACCCAACCCTTGGATAGATATCACAACGTTCCCATAAAGAAGTACATAAAATAAAAAAGCTACCAATATCTGATGCAGGTGTGGGTTTTGGTTCTGGAGGCTCTCTTGTGGGAAGCCTTTGGCCTATACTGGTGGAACCACACAAGCCACCGTAACATGGGGGGGTGCCCTGCTTGGAAGGGAGGTTTGGGGGAGCAGCTCCGAGTCTTTTCCAGCAGCACTTTTTCCTTCTTTTAAAGCCCTGTCTTGGTGACCTTGAACATGTCTGGCAGTTGAGAGTGGCAGGGGCTGGCTCTTACACATGTCGTCTAGCGCTTCTTGTTTTCAGGGCAAGGTTTGTGGGTTTCGATGACTAAGATGCCTTAAAAGAAACAGCAGTTCATCAAGGAAGCTGACCTCATTCTCCCCCCACCCCGCCCTTTCCCCCCAGCCACCCTGCAGTAATAAAACTACTGAAGTGGCTAATTTGGGTGGCAAAAATGATAGACCCGGGTTTTAAGCCCAGCTTCATCAGCAGAGCATGTAAATGCCCACATAAGCAGCGATATAGGGCGGTGGCTCAGAGCACCGACTACAGAATTCGCCTATTGGGGTTCAAATCCTAGCTTTGCCCCTTACTAGCTATGTGACTGCAGGCAAATTAACCTCTCTGTGCTCTAGTTTCCTCATTGATAGAATGAGAATCAAAAGAGTCCCACTTCTGAAGGGTGGAGCCCTTAGCACGGTGCCTGGTCCCGCAGGAGGTACGCAGTGTGTGTGAGTTACCAGCATCAGCGGCCAGCTGGGTGGCCTTGGACAAGTTAACAAGCCTTGCTGAGCCTTGATTTTCTTACCGGTACAGTGGACATACGTGGCAGGCCTGTTGCAAGGACCAAAAGAGAAGGTGTCACGATGTGAAGTTTCCTGACAGAGGTCAGTGCCCCTCTGAAGGAGCTGTCCTCCATGTGGCCAGCATGTCTGGTGTGAGGGCAGAGCAGAATCTTAAATGGAGACTCCAGACGAGATAGGGAGAGTCAGAGAGCAGCCTGAGAGTGTCCCCCCTGCCTTGGGGGCGATTCCAGCCGTTCAGGGGCAGAAGGAAGCAGGGCACAGGGCTGGGGTGGGAGGGCAGAGTCGGCTCAAGAATGAGAGTGCAGAGCAAGGTGACAGAGGGACAGGAGGCATGAGGACAAGTCTGCTGATGCTCTTTTTCACTCAGGCTAAGGCTGGGGCGAGGTGGAGTTGCCCCAGCCTTGCCCAGCCGTGCTGAGGAGAGACCTGGCTTAGCTGTTGGGGTAGGGGCAGCTTCTTGAAAACGTGCCCCCACCCCTGTGTTATGGGAGGGGAAGTTCTCATTGGCCTGATCTATGTGTTCTGTCCCCAGGTTCGCAGGCACACAGCCCGCAGGAACCTGACTATGGGGACCACCAGGACTTTGCCCCCAACAGTGGCCTCCTCCCTGCAGTGGATAAAGTACAAGCCAATGCCTAGCAGGGGCCAGGCCTTTGCACGCTGGGGTTTAAATCTAAATGTCTGTGTTTCAGTCTCTGCTCCCCAACAGGGGAAATGCAGCCACTTCCTGAGCAAAAGGGGGTCAGAACTAGTCTCCACCACCCCTTCTGGGCTGAGTTACACCCTCGTGCTGGGCCCCAGCTGCTACTCAGCTTTTCTGCATTACCCTTTACAGTGTTACAGCTCTTACGTTGCTTCCTGTGTTTGTGTTGGCTTTGCCAAGTTCCTTTCAAGTGTTCTGAGTGCAGAAAACATGCCTTCCCCACCCCCCTTTGTGCTGCTATTGAAGAGGCCCCGTGGTCTGGGGAGAGGGTCGGTGCCAGAATGTTTCAGCCTCGGCTGCGGGGTTTCTGTTGAGCTCCTTCTTTTCTGGGCAACTCTACCTCCTTGTTTGTAAAATGATAACACCAGTATCCCCTATTCCGGAGCCTTTTGGGCCTCTAACCAGGTTCTTACTCAGAAATCCTTTTCTGGTAAAAGGCAAATTGAACCAGTTTTCTCTCTTTCAGCTCAGGGTCACTCTCTCATCCCTGTGTCAAGGATCAGGACCTTCTTAGGCTCAGATGGTACCCACAGGGGTAAATAACAGCCAGGGATGCCACTGGCAGTTTAGGAAAAGACCGGGCCGATAGATGAGGGAATTGGAAGAGAACAGGGAAAGCAAGAAAAAGGAAAGAGGGGACGAGATAATACAGGTCAGCTCCCCATAAAGGCTCCCAGGACAGCCCTCCTAGGCGTCTGGGCCTCCTGTCCTGCTGCTGGAACTTGCTGCCCTGAAATGTCTATGACCCAGCCACCCATTTGGCATTAAGCTACAGTTGGGATTCAGGGACAGTGACCGCAAATCCTAGCTGACCCCCATAGTCCCCCAGGCTCTGTCCCACCTTAGCAAAGCTGTCCCCACTTATACGGCTCTGCGTTTTGTCCCCAGGAAACGGCCGCTGGTGATGACAGTGACTGGATGGAAGGCGCCGATTGTGTGGGAAGGCACTTACAACAGAGCCATCCTGGAAGATTACTATGATAAACAGAAAATTACCGTGGGTTTGACGGTTTTTGCTATCGGAAGGTAGGTGTCACTATTAAAATTGACCTTGACTTCTTGTTCCCCCTGTCAAATGTTTGTGAGGGTCCCCCTGGGCTAATGGAGGCTGTTCCCAACCCGTCTGAATTACCAGCTGGGAGGAGGTTATAATGGGACCATTTCAGTCTCATGGCTGCTAAGGCCCCCAAAACATGAGGACAAAACCATGGTCAGTGAGTCGACTCCTTCCCACCCCGAAGGGAGATCTCGGGTTACAGGTAAAAATGTCTGCTACACCCACGGAGCCAGAGACTACAACTCACTCACCACCACCTCCACCCCGCCCCTGTGGCTTTCTCTGGAAATTTCCACAAATGCCAGTGGTTAGACAGCCCACATGTGCATCATTCTTTCTCCTGTACTCGTGAGACCCAGGACCAAGGACAGCAGGGCTCGGAGGAAGTCCTCAGGCCAGAGTGGCTAAGTATGGTGGCTTCCATGTCAGATCATGGCTCACTGCTCTTCCATGGGTGCCTGGGTTCCTCCGTGTCTGGTCCTCCTAGGGGACTCAGGGCCCCAGATTTGGCTGGCCAGGACTTCCTCTTCCAGGAGTTGGATGGGTTCCTCTTTCAGCTTCCATTTCCTTGTTTAGAATGTTTCTCCCCAAGCTGCTTGCTTGTTCTTACTTGAAATGGGTAGCTTGTAATTTCGGTTTTAAAATATAATGCATTTTGCTCTTTTGGAGAATTATTTTTTTTCCAGAACAAAAGCAAAAGTTTAATTTTCCTGTTCATCCCCGCCCTTCTTTCCCACCCCGATCCCAGCCTTTTCATCTGTACCCTTTCTGAAAGCCACACGGCAAGTTGACCCCTTCGCCTTGGACAAAGGGGTTGAAGGCTCAGGCTGATCTGACCTTGAGTTCTGCCCGTTGTAGGCCCTGAAGGAGAGTGCTGTGTAGATCCGATAGTTCTCCCAAGCCCTTCTCCAACCCAGAGCTCAGAAGCCATGGCTGGCACCGTAGCGATTAAGTCCTAATGTCACTGACTGTGCTGATCCCAGGGACATAGGGAGCAACTGGAATAGAAAAGGGTAACCTTGACCCTGGAGTTTTGACATTTTCACTGGAAGAATCTGTATTGTTATGAGTTGGGAGCCAGTGCACACTCAGCTTACCTAATCCTTTGGCACGAGAGGGACAAGCCAGCCATGATGCAGATTGATTTGATCCTGATGTTTCCAAAAAGAACAGAATGTTGCCCACTGTCCTGCAATGACTTCAACCAGCAGTTGTGACAATGAAAGAAACGTCCAAACCTACAAAGAATTTTTATAGGAATTTATTTGACCCAAACTGACTGATGACAGTTGCCGGGAAGCAAGACCTCAAATGCTCTGGAGAATAACAGTTTTACAGTTTCTTTTAGGCATTTGGAATTAACGAGGGGACATAAAGATTACCTGTATTTTCCCATGCATAATGCGCTCCCATGTATAATGCATACCCATGTTTTTGGCACAAACTTTCAGGGAAAAGAATCTTTCATTTAAATTTTTTTAACTGAATTATTTATTTTATATTTAGAAACAAAACCAATTATCATATTCCAGGTATTTTGCATATGGATGTTATTGCTGTCTAGAGTTATACTTTTAACACATAAGCATAAATAAAACATTTATATAGATAGGGAATTAATACTACCCACATATAATGTGCATCCTTATTTTTTCCTCAAAAATTTGGGCAAAAAGTGCCCATATACACAGCAAAATGTGGTACATGACAGTGGAAGTAGGCAGCGTACAGGATAGTTAACAAGATCACATGCTCTCTTGAGAGTGGTAGTCTTATTTCAAAGATACTTTAACCTCGGTGCACAGAAACAATGGACAGGGCTTGCTTAAATCAAAAATAAACCTTTTACTGAAGACGTCATATGTCTGGGGCATGACTACCCATGACCTATCCAGTTAGGAATTTACGTCCAGATGACCTTGTTTACATTCTGCAGAACCCCCTTTTTTGTCCATAGTTGCAACTCTGCAGAACTAAAGGATAAATGGCATATCCTAATGAAAGCCGCTTGCTCTGCACCCAGAGGCAGGAGGCAGCCAAGGACTGTATTCATCAGCAATAAATCCTCACAAGAGTGGATTTGGACTTTTAGAAGGTGTGACATTTGGTTTATTTTTCAAATAACAATGCTCAGTGCTTTAATCTCTAAACAATGTTAAACCAGACAGTGGCACACTTCCTCCCCCTAGGACTGTCTCCCAGCTTCAAGGCACTATAGATTTTTCTCAAAAGTACAGAGCACCAAAGAATTTCCTGGACATCAGCTACAGAGCCATATCAAAGTCCTTTATCGTGCTCAGATACATGCTCTCCATTTAAAGACTCAATACTATAAACCCTTAGATTTCCAGAGGCCACCATTAAAAACCCCTTCAGTTAGGTAGCAAGGAAAGGGAATCCACGCAGCAACCAACTGGAAAGTGCCAGTTACTACTCCTCACGAGACATCATGATTGGCCGGTACTGTGCTAGCCCATTAAGTTCAGTCCACATTCACTGAGCATGAGTCCAGGGTTTGCATGTGTTGCGTTAAGCCATCTTTCTACTCTTTCCTCTTCTCTCTGATCTCTGTGGCTTTGCAAGAGAGTGTGTAGCTGGTTACAGAAGGCATTGACATGATTTCTTTTTGAATGAGTAGACTAATCGCTAAAAAACCACGACACACCCTATCACTGTGGCCAAAATCCCAAAACACCGACAACATGAAATACTGGGAAGTAAGGGGAATTCTTGTTCACTGCTTATGGGTCTGCAAAATGGCATAGCAACTTTGGAAGACAGTTTGGCATGTTCTTACCAAACTAAACATACTCTTACCATGCAATCCAGCAATTGTGTTCCTTGATATTTACCCAAAGGAGTTGAAAACTATGTCCACATAAAAACCTGCACACAAATATCTACATCAGCTTTATTCATAATTGCCAAACGTTGGAAGCAGCCAAGATGTCCTTCAGTAGGTGAATATGTAAACTGTGGTACATCCAGACAGGAATATATTATCAGTATTATCAATATTCTAAAAAGGAATGAGCTATCAAGCCATGAAAAGGCATGAGGGAACCTTACATGCCTTTACTAAATGAAAGAAACCAATCTGAAAAGGCTACTTACTATATGATTCCATACTGTGACATTCTGGAAAAGGCAAAGCTATGGTGACAGTAAAAAGATCAGTAGTGGTCAGGAGCTGGGGTGGGGTAATGGATGAATAGGTGGAACGTGAGATTTGGGGGCCAGTGAAAATATTCTGTATAATACCCTACGTAATGATAGATAATGTTATACATTTGTCCAGACCCATGGAATGGACAACACCGAGAATGAATCTTAATGTAAACTATGGACTTGGAGTGATGATAACGTGTCAATGTAGGTACATTGATTACAACATATGTACCACCCTGGTGCTGAATGTTGGAAGAAGAGGAAGATATGGGAGGGTGGGGTAACCAGGGGAGTATATGGGAACTTTGTGCTTTTGGTTCGATTTTTCTATGAACCTAAAACTGTTGTAAAAGATTAAGAAAAAGTAGCTAAAATAAGGCTAAATCAAAGGTCGTTTGCTTTGGTGTTTAGATGGACCTTATGACAGTGGTGTCTGGAAAGTGGGTTGGGGTTTTGAGTGACCAGTGGCAGGCTAACAGGGAAAATCTGTAACAGAGAAGGATGTCCATGTTCCTCAACGCGTTCTCGGAGTCCCAGAGTGGCGATAGTTAGGCTTAATGCATCCCAAAGGGACCCAAGAGTCACATCACAGTTGCATCTGGTAGGGTAGCAGCAACATTGGGGTGTACGCTGGGGTTTCTGAAGGAGGCTCAAGAATTAGTGGCCCCTGATGTTAGTCAAAGGGTATAAACTCCCACTTATGAGATGAGTAAGTTCTGGGGACTTAATGTACAGCATGGTGACTATAATGAACAATACTGTATTATATATACTTGAAAGTTGTTAAGAACATAGATCTTAAATATTCTCACCACAAAAAGAAATGGTAATTTTGTGATGTGATGGAGGTGTTAGCTAACACTATGGTGGTAATCATTTTGTAAAATATGAGTGTATCAAATCAATACTTTGTACACCTTAAACTTATACAATGTTATATGTCAATTATATACCAGTAGGAAAAAAGAACTTGTATCCTCTTTGCCTGCCCAAAGGCTAAGTAAGGCAGATGATAGTAAATATCATCTTAATTACAGTTGAAGCTGGTATTGGAGAATGTGGCTTATATCTGCAGGCCCTAGGCCTCGTAACATTGAACCACCAAATTAGAAAGACTTAGGGGCCCAGGCAACTATAGCATTAGAAACTTCAGGGCTCTGGACATGGGGGTAGGGCCGGTACCACTAAATGTACTGTTAGGCCCAGAGCACACATACTACCTCCAATTGGTCAGTTTCTAAGAGCGCGAGGAGGGGAGGGGTCAGGGCTGTGCATGGACACTTGCCTTTCCAAAACTGGCAGGTAAGTCAGCCCACCCCCCACCAAGGCAGAAAGCAGTCAGGAATGTTACATCTGGAATGAGGAAAAGCCCCTAAACTTCAAAATACAAACAAAATGATTAGAATAGCACATGGTCCCCTGCAGAGTCCCAGACATTACATTTACCCTGTTCTTCTTTGTTTCAGATACATTGAGCATTACTTGGAGGAGTTCTTAACATCTGCCAATAGGCACTTCATGGTTGGCCACAGAGTCATATTTTACATCATGATGGATGATGTCTCCAGGTTGCCTTTGATAGAGCTGGGTCCTTTGCGTTCCTTCAAAGTGTTTAAGGTCAAGCCTGAGAGGAGGTGGCAGGATATCAGCATGATGCGCATGAATACCATTGCGGAGCACATTGTGGCCCACATCCAGCACGAGGTTGACTTCCTCTTCTGCATGGACGTGGACCAGGTCTTCCAAGACACCTTTGGGGTAGAGACCCTTGGCCAGTCAGTGGCTCAGCTACATGCCTGGTTTTATATGGCAGATTCTAATGACTTTACTTACGAGAGACGGAGGGAGTCCTCAGCATTCATTCCATATGGCCGGGGGGATTTTTACTATCACGCGGCCATTTTTGGAGGAACACCCATTCAGGTCCTAAACATCACCCGGGAGTGCTTCAAGGGGATCCTCCAGGACAAGAGAAATGATATAGAAGCCAAGTGGCATGATGAAAGCCATCTAAACAAGTATTTCCTTCTTAACAAACCAACTAAAATCTTATCCCCAGAATATTGCTGGGATTATCATATAGGCCTGCCTTCAGATATTAAGACTGTCAAGATATCTTGGCAGACAAAACAATATAATTTGGTTAGAAATAATATCTGACTTTAAATTGTACCAGTAGATTTCTGAATTTGGGAGAGTATTCTGGCTACTTCCTCAGAAAAGTAACGCAATTTTAACTTAAAAAAAATACTAACAGAACACCAACCCAGCAAGTACATACTATTCCTCCTTGTAACTTTGAGCTTTGTAATATGGGAGAATGAACCTCTGGTAATCAGATGTAAATTCCAAATGATTTCTTACCTACTCTGGGTTTGGGAGAAATACTATCAGTTGAACTAAAAAAATTGTCACAGTCAAAGAAAAAGCCAGAAACACTCTACATGTGCCAGATGTACTGTAGAAAAGGGTGCTGAGTCTAAAGCAACATAGGTGCTTTGCAGCAGGAGAACTCTAAGTGAGGACACCGTCTACCTGGCAATCCTCAAATGGTTTGAGTAGCAGATGGCTTCAGGCCGTTTGTAGTACGTGTCCTTTTCTCAGGATGTTTGGCCTCTGTGGAAAACATTGGTTGAGATTCCCAGTGGATATCATAGTGGTAAATGTCTGGAGTCACAGGGAATCTGAAGAAGTGAAAACAAAGCCTCAGAATTTGCTATGAAATAGCAAAGAGAGGGTGGAAAGAGAGGGGGCTGATTATGGTTGGGCAATGCCACCTCAGAAGAGCACAAGACATGGGGTTGGCACTTAAATACAGCATGCATGGACCCAGGCTCTGAATGGGAGGGGGGACAATGTGGATGATCTAAAGCCTCCTCGATCCCATGACAACTAGAGAAGAGAGGATTTGTATGCAAGATGCCTCTTGCTTTGCCCAAGTCATATTCAGTTTGCCAGATTCTGCAACTTGTGTCTTCAGATTCTTGGCCAGAAGACATGGATGGTGTCAGAGAAGACAAAGGCCCACAGTGGATTGAAGAAGCTTGCAAGGAGTTACATTTTTCCAGACTTGGACTTCATGGCAATCAGTTGTCACTGATGTGGGCTTCATGACCGTCAGTCATCAGCAAGTCCTGCTCTCACCTGCTCTACCCTTCAGAGTCCCTCAGCCTGTCATGTCCCATGTGGAGGGCTGACATCAGGAGTGGATTGGAGAAGAAGACCTCCCATCAAGTAACCTCGTTTGCCCCTGCCCCATCTGTGCTGAGATGTAACAACAACCAGATGCATCTAACAAAATGGTTAATTGATTTTATATCAAAAGCAGAGGGGAAGGCAATGAGAGACCCATTCCTCATGACTGAACAGCTTACCATCCAATTCCCTTCTTTAAGGGAAGTGATGAAATCCTACATTATTTAAAGTTAAGCAATTCAATGTAAAGGAAGTTAGGAAGCAACATTTACATATTTATATTTTGCTTGTGTTCCAGTTTAAGTCATTTGTTTCCATTTTTAGGCAATTTATTTAAAGAACCATTGCATTGGCTCAATGTTCAGCACAATGGGCTTCTCTGATAAAATTAAACCTACATTTTGTCTACCATTGCACTGTGCCTCCTACTCTTCACTTCTTGCCAAAAAGTATCACAATCAGAAAGACAAAACCAAACCAATAAAAAGTCCTAAAATGGACTTTGTAAAAGCAAAAGGAAATCGCACATCACTGAGGACTTTTGTTTCTCTGTGTCTCAAGTTTTCTGGAATACATTCTGGAGTAGGAAAAATTAATGGTTAAAATCCTGAACCAAAGAAATAATCTATCCTGAATGATTAAATGGCTGATGTTTACTTTTGAAGGGAACTTGGGGTTTGTTTTTTTTTAATTCATTTAAATCAAAATCCCAAATGTACTAACTCAAGATCTCTTGAATAGCCCTGGCCCATGTGGCTCAGTGGGTTGGGTAACATCCTACAAACCAAAAGGTCACCATTTGGGTTCCCAATCAGGGCGCATGCCTGGGTTGCAGGTTCCTTCTGGTCTGGGTGCATATGAAAGGTAATCAATGGATGTTTCTCTCCCTCTTTCCCTCCCGCTGCCAAAAAGAAAAAAATATGCATTCTTAAACATTAAAAGAAAAAATTCCTGATTTACAATCGAATACATTATTTTCTCAGTATATTCTGGTCTGGTCATGGATTGTGCATTTTCTCCCAAAGGTGTTTAGAATCGTCAGTTCTAGAATTTTAAATTCTTAGACTCCAGAAAGCCCTCATGTCCTCCTAAAAATGTGTTTGCTATTACAAAGATAGAATATGGTTGAGATTTGCAAACTTTTAAAACAAGTTCTCATATAGAGCTTTCCAAAGTGATATGCTGAAGTAATTGATAAACTGCTCGTGGAAGACCCAGTAGGTAATAGCTTGTTCCTGAAGCCCAGGGTGGGCACCAGGGCAAAGGGAGAAAACAATGCCTTAATTATATCTGGGCTTACTAGTCTGGACCTTTGGAGAATATATCTGGCCAAGTAAGCCTGGGGAAAGGCTGAATTTCCAGCAGTCTGGGCATACGTGTTCATAATAAAAAGATTAAAGGTGACCAGCTGATGGGGTATGGTATGCTGGATATACAACAGGCATGACCACTTCATAGCAGAGGATTATTCCCCTTGTACAGATGAGCAAATGAGGTTCAGAAAGGTTAAGCCACCCAGCTGGGCAGTGCTGAGCTGAAGCTGAAATCAGATTCTGACACGGACAAATGTGTTGACACCATAAATACACAAAGGACCTCATTTCACAACAAGGCAAATGCAACTTTAAAGAAGAAACTTGTAAAGGGCTGTCTCTACTATATGGATGTTTAAAAAATTAGATAGGTTTCCTGTCTGTACCATTTCCCATTCTTCATGCACTAAGCCTACCCCAAATGCATTAAATTAGTTAAAATGGATCATGCAAACAGAAGAGTACGTGTTCACTCTTACCTTTACATAGTGCATGCAGGGCTGATGGAAGCCCTTTGGGCATATGAGCTGTCCTGCCGAGGCAGTGCCTTAGAGGGTGTAATTGGGCAGAGGGGCGGGTGGGGAGGGATGGCCACTCTTCCTCCCACTCTACTTCTAACGTAGGGTTCGCATGCCGCTGGAAGGGGAGAAGCTTCTTTATGGCTAGAAAGGTCTGATTTCTCTTCCTTCTTGGAATTACTCATCTTTGATCTCCCAGCCAAAGTCACCGTGTGATTGATTAATGAGGGAACCATATCTATGGCAGTACTTAAAGGTACAAGTATTTGTTAAATGTACCTTACGTGAATTAATAACACATGATCATACAAGTGTGAAACACCATAGAAACCATGACTGTATGACATACAATGATACTTTTAGGTAGAGAAAGGAGGGTTAACCTGGGATCCTTTGGTCAAAACCTCAGATCTAAAAGGATGCAGAATTAGGATTCAAAACCAGGGCGGTATGAATCGAAGTCCTTTTCACAGCTTCTGTCTGCTTCCCTCACTCTGTCTTTCCCACTTTATCTTACACACACACTTACACAGACACACACACACACAACACACCAACCATCTTGGTTTTGAAATTTGAAGATGCAAGGAATCACCATCAAAAGCTCTCGATTCATATATTAGGCCTTAAAGAGCTTAGTAGACCAAAAACTCTGCAGGAGCAGAATGTGAGTCTAAACTCATCACATAGCCAAGTTGGAGAAGCAGTCAAAAGCTAAGCAACACAGGGCACAGGGAAGTTCCGGGCTGAGGGAGTGTGGAGGAGGGAAGGACGTCTGGTGACGCGGGAATAGCTTGGAGGAGCTGACTCGGAGTGGAGTTTGGAAGGAGAAGGGGATCACTCTGAGGAGTAGAGAGCAGTGAGATGTCAGAGGGAAGAGCGGCAGATGTAGAGCACAGAAGACTGTGCTAAGACTTAGAAACCCACAAAAACGGGCCTGAGGCCTTGGGACTGCATGAAATCACCTGGCAGAGCCTGTGTGAAAAGCAGCGAAGGCCACGGGAGCACTTGGGCTGGCTGAGGACTCCACATTCTCCCAGCATTTATGGCTCTCTCCCCTGCTTCCAGCAATGCTTGGTCTCCTTTATGGAGTCTGTGTGATGTCTGTGGAAACGTGCCATGGTTGGAGCAAGTGGTCCAGGCTAAGCTAATCAACACCTTTCATTCCTTTGGTGGCAATGACTGATTTGGGGGTGGGCAGGAGACCTAAACTAGACCAATCAGCATGAATCTCAGGTCCTCAGGTAATGAGGGAGCACGTAACAATGGGAGCTGCTAACACCTCTGGTGACCACAAGGGAGGTCAGCATTAGGATGAAGCTGACAATAGGACTGGAAGAGCAGGGAGACTAAAGGACGCCCAGGCCTTGAAAACAACTCTTGAGCTGCCAGCTCCAGCCTTACCTGAAGCCTGCACTGACTGTGGGCTTTTCAAATGTGTGCACCAATAAAGTTCCATTATCATTTAAGCTAGTTGGAATTGGGCTTTCTCTTATAACTGAAAATATCCCTGTTGATCCTCTCTAGAATAATTAGTTCCTTATAGGCAGGACCATAGTCTGCCTTTGCTCAGTTCCAGCACCTACTACATTACTTATGTCAGAGGCAACTGCTTAACAAATATCTACAAGATGAATGAGGGAGTGAATCATCACATCCACTCCCATGATGCCTCGTAAGAAGTGCTTTTTTAATTAAATTTTTTTTTATAATGGACTCAGATACTTTTCTATCTGACACCTGAAAACTTTTCTTCCTACAGTACACAGTACAGGAACTCAGGCGGTGCAGCCTGAGCTTCAGGCTCCAACCTGGTGCATAGCCAGGTTCAGTGCTGCTTAAGGTCAGCGATGCATGAGGCAAAGTTGTTATGTCAGCGTAAAGCACTGGCTCTCAATCAGCGTGATTTTTCACCTCTACTCCCCAGCCCCTGCCCTGACCTGAGGGATATTTGGCAATGTCTGAAGATACTGGCTGTCAAAACCTGGAGGGATTGCTAATCACATCAAGTTGTAAAGACAAGGGATACTGCTAAACATCCCAAAATGCACAGCAAAGACCCCATGACAAGGAACTGTCTGGGTCAAAATGTGATGAGGCTGGGAAACCCCCACGTAAAACTTCCTTGAATTTCGTTAAGGAAGAAACGTGGGAGAGCCAGTATGCGTAACAGTCATCGGTCTCTACCTTAGGAATAGTCCCTGATGAGCATCAAAAGCATGGAACTCACTTCTTAGCCTTCCTGTAATATTCACAGCTAAGAAAAAAGGATAGGGCAGTTCCCTGTACTGGACACTGGAGGGCAGGAATTTCCAAAGAATACAGTTATTCTAAGCAACTGCAGTGATTTAAAAAGAAAAAAAAATCTGGACCTGGTGAAGACTACCCATTTGCAGAAATAGATATGAATTTTATATATAAATGGAAAAGCTATAAATATTTAAAGTATGGGGCTGTGGAAAATCAGCCAAAGTTGGAAGACACTTTCAGTGAATTGACTCTAACTGCTCAGAACAAAAGGTGGTTCGGGTAGGTAGGGGTTGTAGTTAGGTATTTTGGTAACAGGGAACAGACGTCTCCCTTGAGCAGTCTAAACCCAAATGACAGATTATTGGGAGGCTACTGGAGAGTTCCACTGAACACAAGGCAGAGCTGGCAACCGGGAAGGGGCGCCCTGAAGCTGGTCCATTCCTGCGTGAGAGCCTGTGCATGCAACGCTGCCCAACTCCCTGTTCAGTGACTTCACCTGGGTGGCTTCCTATCTGCCATGGTGGGAGTATTTACACCATGGGAATCAGCAAACACTGGAAATCAGGTCTCTTTTTCCCTTTCCTTCCTTTCATTTTCATCTTTATTTTTTAGGAGTTAGTTGTGTAAAATATTAGTTTTGCACATCACTACAACCAGCCCATGAAAAAGTGCCAGGGAAGTTCAAGGTCTTCAGTAGCAGAAAATTAGAGACTTCCCCTGGAGGGGAACTCCTGGGGTTCCAACTAACCCCAGGCTCAGGGTTTCTTCCTTCAAAACTCTAAATTGCTGGCAAAGGAAACCCAAATGGCACAGCATTCACTCACGCTTCCAGCAGCTGTGCCATGGGGTAGGTTTACTGGAGGGTGGATTTACTGGGGGCAGTTTCTCAGACAAGGACCTATTGCTGTGAGCTGGGCAGATGCCTCTAAAAATGTCTACCACATTCCACTTAGAGTTGTCTGGCTATCAATCATTTCCTCCCACATATGTAAAATATGTCATGCTATTGTACTCCAAAAACATTAGGCACTACTGTAGCACACCCCCATCTCCTAATAGCAGATCATAGAATTCACAGATAATGCCAGAGGGCCAGGCTTCTCACAGTCTGCTATCTCCAGATTCTCCTTTGGCTCCTTAGGAAGCTCATCTGACTATTCTGAAATCCATAAAGTAAATAATAAATTCAGCTCACGCCCAAACACTCTAAAGTCAACAGTGAGAGACAAAGAAGGAAGAGGGGAAAAGATTTAGTAACTCCTATTTAAAAGACAACGATAGTTATCTGCTCAAGGGGCACTTCCTCGCTCTGAATTCAGTTGGGCCTCTGCTGTAAGTTCTCTGTTAAGGCTAGCCACAGTCTTCATCCATCACCATAGTCTTCTTAGACCCTTTGAACTATGTAAAATATAATTGGTCATAAGAGATCTAGCGGCAGATCAACTTACCTGAACCCTAGACCAGCTGGGGAGCTTCCTCTTGTCCAGGGTCACACTGGAAGGTCACTGCTTTTATATTTACCAGGCAAATGGGAGGCAGCTGGATACTCTCATGTGTGGGATATTACCTCCAAAATCCAAAGTACTCCGTAGGAGCTATGTCTCTCTCTTAACTGTAGGAGGCATAAAGCACTGGTTTTCAAATTTGGCTGCATTCTGGGATTTCCTGTGGAACTAGTATTGATGCCTGGGTCTGACCCCAGAGGTTCTGATTCAGTTGGTATGGGATGGACACTAAGACTTTAACAACCTTCCCAGGTAAACAGGATTCTGGGAATATGGTGGAACAGGAAGCACCAGGAAACTCTCTCCCCACCCAGAT